ATGAGACCTTGTCTCAAAAACAAAACAAAACAACCAAAACCAGACAGTAAAAAAAAAAAAAAAAAAAAAGGAAAAGACTGCTCAGAATAGAAATAGTTTCCTCAGTTATATAATAGACATTTATGAATGTTCTACTACATTAAAAATTAAAAGGCTGAAATATATATCTTTTTTTCCATTAAGTTTATTGATACATTTTAGGTATACAGTACAGTTACATTCATCATTGGGATCTTGTACCCTTACACGATGTATCTTGGTTCTTATTTTTCCCCATTCCCCTGCCCTCCCTTCACCCCCTCCACCCTTCTCTGTGTACAAAGACTTTGTTTCCATTTTTTCTCATATTTTTTTCTTTTCCCTTCTTTCCTTTCCCCTACCCTTCCTACTGCCCATACTCCTTGAGACCTTTTCTTCCTATTTCACATTATCAATTATACCATTTGAACCTTACTAAACTTTTAGTTTTTCACACCAGAGAAGCTATTCTGTATTTACATGTGTGTGTCCTATTTATGACATCTCTCCCTTTAATATAAGCTACAGAGCAAGGATATTACTTTCCCTGTGCACTGGAAATTTAATTACAAATTCTGTCTACAGAAGATAGAAAAAAGGAATGAAAGACATCAAAACTGGAAAGGAAAAGCTTAAATATACTTACTTATTTGTAGATGACATGATCGTAATTATATAAAACCTTAAAAATGCACACAATTTTGGAGAGAACATACAAAGTCAACAAAGTTATGGGATGTGAGTTTAATAAACAAAGCTAAACAATAAAAATCTCAATGATAATTCCACTTACAACAATACACATGGATGAAATACCCATGGATAAACTTCACCAAGTTCACGTAACACTTAAATATTGATACTACAACACAGTGCTACAATTCAAGAAGAATTAATGTCTTAGTCCATCTGCAGTGTTAAAACAAGGTGTCTAAGACTTGGTGATTTGTAAAAATTGAAGTGTATTTCTCACAGCTTTGGAGCCCAGAGGTCAGGATGACAGCAGCACTGGTCAGAAAGAAAATATTTCAACGTCCACTGTACCTGAGGAAAGGCAAATGTCTCCTGCAACGAGAGTGCAGCGGGACTGCAGTGGAGATGGCCCATCCGCATCGATGGAGCCACGTAGCTTTCCTTGTACGGCAAAGGGCAGGAGTTCAGAGAAGGCCTGAGCTCATTCCTACTGGCCTTTTTCTGAGTAATTCATGCTCTTATAGGGAGAGAGGGAGGCCTGGTCAACATCATTCGGTGAGAAACAGACAAGGCAGCCAAATCACAAAAAAGAAGGAAAAGTTCCTGTGTTCACAGATAATTTTTTCTTTACAAAATACTAAAAATGCTGTACGAGGAACACTTACAATTAATAAATTCAGTAATGTTGCAGAATAAAATAATGAACACAAAAATCTTTTGTGATTCTATATGTCAACAATGAAGAATTATAACAATAAATTTAAAAATCAATCCCACTTTCAGCAATATCAATAAATAAAGTACATTGAATAAACAACCAAGGAAGCAGGAGACTTGTACCCAGGAACTTAGAAAACATTGCTGAAATAAGTTAAAGATGTCTGTAATTGGAAAGACATCTTGTATTCATGCCTGGAAGATGGACCATCACTCAAATGTCCGTATTATCCCAGTGATAAAAAGAGTCAATGTAACTCTCATCAAAATTAGAGAATTACTTAAAATAGAAAAACTCCGAATTAACTTCATAATTGTCCATATTTACAGAGTGATATTTTTCTCCTGTTTTTTGACTTTGTTGATTGGATTAATTAAATAAAAATGAATAAAGATTATGAACGCTGGATATATGAAAGAAGACATACAAATGGGCAAATAGATAAAAATTTAATATAATAGGTAATTCAAAATTGCAAATTTACAGAATCATGAGATAATTTTTTACTTCCAGCTTTTTCATTTTTTAATCAAGATTTTTTTCAGAAGGGAAACTATTTGAGGTCCCTTCAAGATCTGTGTAAATTTTAGGGTTGTTTTTGAAATTTTAAGTAATTCTTCTGTCATTTTTATGATAGCTGCACTGAGTCTTTTAAGACACAAAAGTGTCCTTCTTGTGTAGAGAACACTTGGACAGAAGAAGAGAAAAAGCAAAAGCCCCAGGGCAGGGATCAGCTGGGCTGTCAGAGAATAGGCAGGAGGAGGGGATGAAGAAGGACCTGGGTGGGGGAGATCACGTAGTCAGGCATTTTCTTCACGGAAGCCAGAAAAAGTAAGTTTAAGATTTTCATCAGTTGCTGAAACATCCTTATTAAACTTCCCATTGCAGTCCCGCTGCACTCTTGTTTTAGGAGACATGTGCCTTTCCTAAGGTACAGTGGATGTTGAAATATTTTCTTTCCTATAATATATTACTTTTCTTAAAAAAATATACATACAATTCTTATGAAAGTGATTCCTTTTAAAAATGCCTGGTGATGCTCTGACAGTCTGATACGAATTCTTGTGGTTACCCCGATATAGATGACAATAAAGACCTCGGAATCAGCCCTGGAACTTTCTCAGTTGACAAGGTTAAAAGCTTACGAGATGGGCTTCAAATGACAGAGTTAAAAGCCACTGAGATTTTGTCACCCGTGTGACATAAGTTAGGATGACCTAAGATAGCCCAGCTAATAAAACAGGGGGCTTGGGAGAAAATAAATGAATGCGTTTAGGAAGCTGAGAGGTAAATTCAGCAGGACATGTCTTCCGCGTATGTGAGAAACCCTGCTTAGTATTTTATTCCAGTATTTGTCCTTTATTGGTTTGCACTGCATTTTTTACATACAGAAGGTTCATCATTTTATGTAGACAAATATTGATGCTTTTGTCATTTCATTTGTATTATTAGGACTTAAAATATATTTTCCCCGCTGAGACACCAGCGGGGCCGGGCGGACCGAGCTCCCTTCTGCGGGAGAGCTGCGGTCGGCGGGGGTGAGAGGCCGAGCGGCAGGGGCAAAAAGGGGCCCACGCCACCCTCCCGCGGAGGACTCGGCCGCCAGCAGGGAGCGACGAGGGTCTCCGGAAACCACAGTGGGCCGAGGAGACCGACTGCCCGCTACGGAGGAAGTGTCCAGCTAGGACCGGCGG